GAGAGAGAGAGAGAGAGAGAGAGAGAATTTGTGATATTTTCAACATTGGAAAAAATAAGAATGGCAGTTGATTCTGTAAATATTTTTCCAGTAATATACCAGTACGGCAAAGCCTTGTAAAATAAAATAAACATTTTGAACAGGAATTGTTCTCACGTGAACAGTCATTCTGAACGTGAAAGCAAAACTAAAAACTATAGACAACGAAACGCTGGATACAACAGAGTGGGGAAAAAACAGATTCATGAAATTAGCACCACACCTACCGGATCTTTTATTAATCTATGTCTACACTTCTTCAAGACTGACACATTTGTTAACACGAGGACGAGTTGCATTTTCTTGTCTTGTGCTTGATTAATTAATTTCGATTTTTGAAAGGTTGGCCTAACAGAACAAGAACATAAATTTGGCAAATCGATACTCTATTTAAAGCCATTACCCTTCTGTACCGTACTTCATTGAGTATATAAAGCTTGCTTCGCTGCAAAAGACACCGACAATGAAAATGAAACTTACACAATAGTTACTTTCAGTTTAAAATGAGAGGTGCATAACTGTACTATAGAAATAAAATGAACTCGTTTCTCAAGTTAAACATGCTCTCCCCGAAAATCACTTGTTGAACAATTTACTTCAACAAAACATCACGACACAATAATGAACTCTTACACAAGAAAAACGGTTAAGTATGCTATTAAAACAAATTTCAACTATAAAAGGCAACGTTTGTTCGTATTTTTTCTTGCAACACGTACCTTGTTAGAGCCTTTTTGACTACTCGACTTGAGCGTATTCAACAGGAAAGCTGGGGGAACCAGGCGCAGCGCGAGGCAGCAGTTTATAAAGCAAGCCACCTCTCGCGTGAATACGGCTCAGAAACGGGATTTCAGTTTCTCCACTTCCTCATCCCCTCCAGTGAGTCCACACAGCATGACTTTGCACATTTCCAGAAATCTTGGTGCAAACCGGGCCTGAAAGCACTGCAGATTACAGAGAAATGACGAGAAATTGAAGTTGAGAATACATGGAAGGGTTAGGGAGCTCAACCTAATTACATTAAGATTTGAATTTTATGTTTGAATAGGTGTGG